ATGATTGGAATGTTATTTGCTGCAATATCGGCGGCTTTGCATAATGACAATTACAGTTGGAATGTAGATATCAGTTACAGATTTAGGTATTTGGAATTAGTAAGTGCAGTGTTACAGGGAGCGCCTAGAATCTTGGTCAGTGCGGCGTTGTACGATCGCTTCGTATGCCACAAATTGAGAGGCTATCGGCTCAGTGCAAATTGAAAGCGCTCCCAAATTGCAGCAGACCTTTGTATTTGTAACCAGGGCCGGAGCGTCGAGAATCAATCAGAGTAATGGGGGTTTGTTCGATTCTGCTAGGATTAGTCGCGGTGAACAACCGTCGGCCACTACGGCAACAGACTTTCCATCCGATGGCGGCCCTTTGTCGAATTGATTGAATGGCCTTTATCTACTCCCTCATTTGAATTTCGAACCGTGGCGTGGTCGTATTAATAATCAGATACCGTTTAGAACTTTAGATAACACGAGTACACACCGATGCCGACGCCGCAGATTTCACTAAATATTATTTTTAGAATTTCATTACAATTTGCAACTTTGCTCACGAACTGCAAATTTCGGTAATTTCGTATTCAGTTATGAGGGTGGAAACCAAGTTCTCGCCCACCTGGCTGGGGTATGTTTTAACTGAAAATAACGCTTGTTCATTTACCAAATAGTATTTTAAATACTTTCGAGTGAAAAACTATTTCAGTTATGTTAAATACATAACTTATAATATTTTAGCATTACAACTGATAGAAAGTGAGTACTTTTACTAAAGTACTCATTTTCTTTAAATTTTCTTTAATTTGACGTTAATAGTTACTACTATTAACGTCAAATTTAGAAGTCTATCAACATAGTATCATAGTACGGAGATCACGATAGACTGAATGAAGACGAACAGCCATCGCATCTAAATATTAATGTGGTTGACAGCTAGAACTTGTGATCTCACTTTCTATAGTAACTGTGTGAAATTTTGCTTATGTGAGAGTAATAGTGTGTAGGTAATGTTATTCATTTTAGTAAAGAGGGCGCGTATTGTTGCAAGCTGCAGCTTAGTGAAGCTTATATCTACACAATAGTAGTAGTGACCACGTAAGCCCATAACGTGACCTACACAAAGCATTTACAGATTGCGAGCGAGGCTGCGGTGCGCCGCAACGGAGCACAAAGCTTTGGGAAATGTTCGTACTCACCGGGCCTAACAATTAGCGTAATAGACGTTTGACCGACCCCCCACTCCTTCGTTTCCATAGTAAATCACGAAATGCACAGATGTGCTCTCAATTAATTTTCATTTGGTGTTTGTAGGGTTTCTTTCTACCCACGTTTTATATTCGACTTTTAATTTATTAAATTAGTTAGAATTTTATTTCGTTTCGTAAGAAATATAGCTTTGTTTTAGAACATTTTAAGGTAACAAGGTTCATTCGTCGAAATATACTTGTAGGTATGCTAATTATGTAAGCCAAGAAAAACAAAAAACCTACGAACATCTTCAGTTATAACGATGTAGATATAATTTTGTGCTACAGAGCTGACGTTTTCCTTTGTCTGAAACAATGAGTTTCAGTGAGGCAGCACGCGTCTGTCTAGACTAGACTAGGGACAGTTGGTATTGGGGACGGGACAGAGCGGCATACGAATGAAGGATGGCGAACTAAGGACCACACGTAGCTGTATCGCTTTGTAACGGCACTAGTGTACCGCTTAACAGAAACCGACGATATTTAACACTCGGAAATGCTCCAACGAATTGTTTGGACAGTTCAACATCATGTGCACTATATCATGATACAATTTTAAGACAACTAAAACTGTCCTAAAGAACTTGTTCCTTTTAAAATGACACAAAAATATTTTCACGTATTTCTTTTCATCCTATCCGTCAAAAATAAATTCCAAGCAGGAATGTTTCGTTAACATGCACCAAGCGTATTGCTTTTCATGAAATTAAATGGCCAGATATGTTTTTCAAAAAGATTATAATGTGACAAAGTAACAACAACTGAGCTTAACCCTCGCTCTCATTATGAATACTGGACATTTCGCCTTTGAAACATATCGTGTTCTGAGAAACCCTCCACATGAGGACGTCCCTTTAAATACCACGATAGTACTAATTAAGTGTGAAGTGCTCTTCTAATTACTTTGCCTTAGAACAAAGAGCTTGTGTGCTCCTTTATGAAAAAGAAATAGAACATTGCATCTAGTTGGTGGCTAATATATTCCGGGCGTGATTTATGGGCGACTTGTGTTGTAGAGTAAAAACAGTTAAAGGATCTGGCTCGCGTTAGCTGGGCTGCGACTACAGGAATTGTGACGGCGGTCGACGAAAGTTTATAATCAATTCAATCCCGTAGCGTTACGTGTTTGTTCACCTCGTTGTTTAGTAACAACAAAAGTTTTCTGTTAGCATTCCGCAAAAATGTATGTACCTACGAAAATATTTTTAATAAACAGCAAGACCAAAGGAAATTATAATTTTACTCATTCGTTTAAATTATGGCTCGGTGAGAATGTCTGTGGGAAGCCTCAGTTTTTGGGGAATACCGGAACATGAATTTTGAAATTTCTGGAGTAAAGTTATCCCGGCACGTTTGGTGCTGTTTATGTGGAGCCAGAACGAAATACTTGTAGCTAAATTATCCTGGACCGGAGTGAAATTTGTTGTGTAGGGCAAAAAGATGTCCAAAGTACTACTCACGCAAATTTTTCTTGTACCCTATTAAAACTTCAATAGTTGGGTCTCTGCTCCTCGATTATTATGCCATCAGTTTTTAAGTACCTTCGTACAAGAGGATAGTTTATTTTCGTTTTCGTATTTATAAAAAAACGTTTGAATAAGAAATTTTGAACATAACCCAAATTGGCTTCTTCGAGCATTTAATTTCAAATAACCAAGTATATTTTTATACAAGAATTAAGTTGACTTCAAGTGGGCAAAATTGTGGAATGAATATTTTGTAGTGTAAAGATAGAACGTTTAATATTACAGTAAAAATAAAGTTTATAGCACAAGGAATAGCTTCGCGAATAAACAGAGGATTATTTCCTTATTCCCAACAGCCTAAAGTTTGTACTACAGTGAAAAAGGCAATTGTTTCCCAACGCTTGAAATATTTTTACGTTTTGAAAATCAACTCGTTCTTTCCCCACGGGCCGGTCGCTAGAACTTAATATTTTTGTTGAAATTCGGAGCGGCGGTGCCGGAACAAAAGACTGTCATAGCAAACACAGCTGGAGCTAATGTTTTTATGCCCAATATCGAATTGTAACTTGTATGGAAAGTGCTTGCATTGCTTGCTGCATTCCTTCTTGTTAACATCAAAGATATCTAACTAAATAATTAAAATATCAGTTTTTATCCAACAGTAGTCTGTATAGAATCCAGTTAATATTCAATTAAGCTTCGCCCTTTAACCGAAGCCTATCTAAAATACTTTCCAAGTTAATACCTTTACTGAAATCTAATTTAGTTCCTCGTTTCTACATTAATTAAATTTTCCCGTATCCATTGAGTTCGAGTGACATGAAGTGTTAATCAATTAATTAATGTACAAAGTTCTTGAAAGACGATAGGTAGGTATTTCCCTGACGAATCGAGATTGTATCTTAAATAACTAATACGTGTTGGTACGTAGTAAGTTGTTTAAACGACTGAACTAACTATAGACTTAAATACTATAATGGGTAGGTACAAAGTCCAATGTTTGGCTGTATGATTAATATTGATGTGGAGTCCTTAGAGCATCGTCAGGTGACAATGTTAAGATAACTAATTAAGTCAGTGTTGTTATAAGCTGTAGATATACGCAGATATTCTTAGAAGGAAAATATTCAACGTACCTACAAAGTTTAAAAGATCTAAAGATTCTATGAGTTAGTAACCTCTAAGCTAAAAGAGCGGAAAATTCTGGCTGTTCTAGCTGAAAATTCTACGATAACAGAATAATATTCGACTTTAATTGAATATAATTTCGGTTCTTTGAGTAAAGTGTAGGATGTCTGAAATAACGTTCGCAGTGAGCATGCAAAAAAGGTCGGTTTGTACAAACTTGAAAACTATTAAATAATTTATTCATGTTCAAAGTCAATTGTTCATTTTGAATATACCAGCTTCTTAAAATCAATATTGCCTTCGATTTTATGCGTAAAAAGTTATATATATGTCGTAGAATGTAGGATGGAACGTCAAGTCTGAGCCGACTTGGGTGTATTCGGTTATCGGGTTGACAACAATGAACTACACTTCCTCCTCTTGTGTTGCGAGTCCATAGGCAACGCTGATTGCTTACCATCAGGTGGTATGTGCTCGTTTACCGACCTGTTTATAAGAAAATGAAGTTTAAGAGTGACAGCTGTAAAGAAGAAAACATTACAACTAATGTCACTGTCAACGGTCGGTAGAGGAAGGTGGACGGAAAAGTGTGTTGTCAACTACGTGCCGACTTCATCGCGTTCCAATATTTAATCAGTTTCAAGATTGCAATGGAAGACAGCCTACCCTTAAATAAACGCCCACGCACCGCTTCTACATCAGAAGTGGGATTACCCAAGACACCCCAAGAGCATGAATCAGGTCAATCATTCGCTACTAATTCAAATGATAAGTCCGATCGCTGGAGAAAGATGTTCGAATTGCAACAACGTCATATTATGGAGATAATTCATTCAGTAAAAGAAACAAACACGGACAATATGAAAATAGGTTAATGAATCACTGGCATTCGTTGTCGTCGATTGAGCAAGTTGCAATCGCTGTCACTTTGGCTCACGTAGTAAAACTCGAACCAAGACTGCAAAGATTAGTATACACTGAAAAAAATTAGAACTCAATAAAATTACAACAAGGATTGATGGCGTGTTCTATCGTAAAAGATGATCTTTTGTACAGGAAAAGTTCAATGATGCTAAAAAATACGATATGATAATAAGACAGTGTTATAAATACGCAAACAGTAACCAGTAAACAACAGGATAGTCAAGACATTGGTGGATGGAAGAAAATGATGATGTCTATGTGTTACTACTGCAATCAGCAATGAATTAGGTCATATCGCTTCTCGCTGTCCAAACAAGGACAATAAAAACGTCGTTAAGAAGAGCAACAGTGGCAGAAACGACAGCAGTGGAAATGTTGAGCATCAAGTGAATACCGACACTATGAAGTCTGCCACAGATTATTTAGAAATTGAATCCGGTGAGAAATTTTCATTTTGTTTTGATTCAGGTGCTCAGTGCTTTCTAGTTAAAGAAAGTTTGGCAGAAAGGTTTCCTGGCAAACGTCTTCATGCTTTAGTGACATTATTAGGTATAGGTTCATTCAACGTAAATTGTAACGTTCAAATACTAACAGATGTCACTATACAAGGATACTCAATGCAGGTATTATTTCATGTAGTGCCAGATGAATGTATTCCTGAAACAATTATGGTTGGAAGGGTTGGCAAAGTGTTTTGTTTATTGTGGATACCACTACACAAGGGATGTAGTGATGTGTTATGTTTAATGTGGATACTAGTTTCGAGTAATGAATACTGATGGATGGATACCACTACACAAGAAATGTAGTGATGTGTGATATTTAAATGTGGATACTGCTATAACGCTACTTATAGCAATGACTTCTGAATTCGTTTTGGATACTGCCTATCCCTGATACCTGACAACTCTATCTGTTCATGTTCACTCAGTTTCTATCATAAGATTATTTTGTCTTCATTAATTAGTATTGATACTGATTGTGTTATGTTGTTACTACACTTCGCATTGTAATGTTTTCCTTTCATGTTGTTTTGTCCTGTTAAACTGTATTATGTAAGAAATAGATTTCTATTGTTAAATTTGTAGATTTTGAAATGCAAGATTTTGACCTCATCGGTCAGGCTGGCCGAGCTTTACACACGTACTGCCCAAAGTTTGTGTTGTTGCAGTTACCTCACACGAGAACGTGTGACAAGCAGGACGGCCGTGTCGAAGATCAAATGTTAGATGCGCTTATTTGATTGATGGAAGCGTCAAGTAATATGCTTGGGTAAAATCAGAGAGGTGTGACACATGTGGCTGTGTGCAGCTGTAGTGTAATAGAGTTGGTAGACCGTTAGAAGTTATACTAGCTGATGATACCGAGCAAGGTGTTGATATAGAGCAGGTTAGGTCCGAAGCAATAACTAACTTAGAGAGAAATGCTAACTACGACAAGACTCGATTCGACCAAACAAATCTAGGATTGTTCCTTTTTGTGTAGATGACTACTTCGTCCTCTTACAAAACGAAGAGCGAAATCAGACCAAACTCGACCCCAAGTATAAAGGACCGTTTAAGGTCATCGAAGTGTTGGAAAATGATCGGTATACATTAAAGGCTTTAAATTCCAGACGCACATACAAGTACGCACATGACCGGTTGAGAAAAATGCCCGACAATGATGTTGCTATTGAAACTAGCGATGTAGACGGTGTAGAAGCCACTGACTAATATTCCGAGTCAATTTGATGATGTTTGATTACGCTATTACAGTTGATTTGTGATTTGCTAAGATCAGAAAGTCAATATATTACTCGATTTAGGTGATATTTTGGCTGGGTTGTTTGAGACAACGTGTGGATATCGTCACTCGATGGAGGTGGCAAGGTTACCGTCACTCGATGGAGGTGGCATGAGTCATTATCACTCGATTTAGGTGATAATGGCGATAATTATGTTCATAACAAATCTAATTGATTTTTTCCAAAATTTAAGGTTCTCTACTGCCGTGTAAGATTACTTGAGTACTGGTCAATGGCTTAGTAGATAAGAGACGTTCCTTCATAAGAATTTGCGTTCCGCAATTGTGCAGTGTCTAGTGTTTCCATATTAAGTTTGATGTCCTATCTAAATGGTGTTGTTGATTAAATTAGAATTACGATTCTAGGAGACGATAGGTCGTTTATCCAAATGTAATCAGGATAGGCCAAGTTGAGACCTTCTGATATTGTGCTTGGATTATCTTTTCAGCTACATCACACGAGGACGTGTGACGTGTCATGATGGCCGTGTCGTAGAATGTAGGATGGAACGTCAAGAGCCGACTTGGGTGTATTCGGTTATCGGGTTGACAACAATGAACTACACTTCCTCCTCTTGTGTTGCGAGTCCATAGGCAACGCTGATTGCTTACCATCAGGTGGTATGTGCTCGTTTACCGACCTGTTTATAAGAAAATGAAGTTTAAGAGTGACAGCTGTAAAGAAGAAAACATTACAACTAATGTCACTGTCAACGGTCGGTAGAGGAAGGTAGACGGAAAAGTGTGTTGTCAACTACGTGCCGACTTCATCGCGTTCCAATATTTAATCAGTTTCAAGATTGCAATGGAAGACAGCCTACCCTTAAATAAACGCCCACGCACCGCTTCTACATATAAAACATGAACGCGGCCTAATCGGCGGAGCCATGGAGGCCTCATAGGGTCGCTGGGGCTCCGGGTCGAAGTGCAGGAGTAGGAACAGGGTGGTTTTTAGTAAGAGACTGACACTCGCCTCGTTCGAGCGAGAGAAGTCATTGGATGATTATGTCCCGTCAAAAAAGTTCCCTAATCAAATTTTGGTTCAAATCGTAATCTTTTAATGTTTGGGTTTGAAGTGGCTGCAAAAGATTTTTACAATACATTAATTATTTGGCATTGTTTCATTAACAAAAGAAATTAATAAAGTTTACATAGAAATATTTTATTTAGAGCTAAAAGTAATTTAATAGTACATCAGGTCAGTGTACATTAATTTTACGTTGACGTAGAAATGTGTTATGGACATCCATCACAGCTAAGCTTAGATAAATACATCTGGTTCAACATCACAAATCATGATGTTGTCATTATGTCTTACCTTTGATTAATTCCGACCGTTCCTAGCCTTAATTATGCAAGGTTTAGTTAGCACTTCAGGGTATGTACAGACAACAATAACATAATTGCTTCCAACTACAAAGTGCCAATCAATAGTGCACGAGTGACGACGTTTGCTTGGATTACTCAGCTGTAGTGGTATTTAAAGTGTATTATTCAACATCTTTTGAATTTTACAGTACGTAAGAATAATAAAATTCTGTAATGTAAATAAAGGCACAATAAAACCATAACTAGTAAAAAACCGCACGCTTTGACGCTAAAACTTAAAGAGCTTCCATCGTTTAATAATATAACATTATTTCTCTACAATATTATACGTCATAGTTGCACGTTATAAAGGGACGCTTGTTAACTATAAACGGCAACAAAGAAGCATTGCACACCAAAGAAACAGACCCAAACAGCGCATTTCACGTGGTACTGGCCAATTTATTTGTGGTTAAGTGCACACAATAAATTTCTCAAATGGCCCGTGCTTACACCGACGAAGGCTGTCTGCTATTTATTTCCTAAGTCCGTGGTTTATCGTCGAACCTACGGACGCATTGTACTAGACAATGGAGCTTAGATTTGTCGTGTGATGTGATAATAAAAAGCAAGTATTACGCTCTATTTGTCGCTCTAATATACGTTTTATAGCGCTTTTATGAACACGCGTAAACTTAAGCCACCGAAGGCGAAATACGTTCACCGTTGACTTTTCGAAAAGAATGGACTCACCAAAGAGTTTTTTTTACTTTCCAATATTGCTTCAACTCCTCGAAAAATTACTTACAGAAAGTTATTGAGATGTAAATTTTGATTAAAAATCCTAATTGTTTTGGTATAAAAACCAATGACCTGATTTGGTAAACAATTAGAGTCCAGGCAAAGTAAACAAGGCAACGGCGAACAACGGACCCTGAAGTGGGTAGATCTAGGTACTTAAATGTTCCTTGAAAACAACAAAAATGTTAAGTGTAGATATTGATTATTCTGAACATTACCTAAGCTGGGAATTACAGTCCTTCAAATTCAGTACCCACGAACAACTTTATATTTTCAGACGTTTACGTGGAAACTTATTCGATCCGAGAAAAAGGAATAAAAATAGTATAAGTTTGAGAATAACACCTGCAGCGTCAGTTTTCTATGACGACAGTAGATGTCGGGCTATCAAACTGTCACGACAGTCGCACCGGCGATTTTTGTTATAAAACCGCAATGTAGAAAAGTAAAAGGTATTTAATAGCGAGAAGAGAAAACTTGAATTCAATTCATTTTATTTTCCAACGATTTATAACAGTGAAGAATATTTTCTTAACTCGTAGGGTTTATAATTAATGCTAGTATTATTCTTATTCTATAAACAACAAAGAAATAATTAATATCAGGTGTGTCTAAACATAAAAATTCACTTAACACATAACTTACATTAGGTACACATTTGTTTTATTCAAAAACGTAGGTAAGTCAAGGTGAAAATATGAATAATTTAAGTATAAAACCAAACTTTTACAGTTCAGTCTTGATTCATAATAGTTAGACGAATATTGAGTACTTATTTTTGAGCTTATCTGAAGATTAACTGTGAATTCCCAAATCGAAAAAACGGAGTTCGCACTGAGTTTAATAATCAAGGTCGTTGCATCATTAGTCTGTAATATCTCTGCATTCAATTGTTAAAATGTATGATATCTCTAACCCATAAAATATTACTACAATACGTGCTTAAAAAGTCTACCACTTATAAATATGCATTTTTTTCTTATTACTTGTTGGTAAAAAAAGGGGTTCAGAAAACGTTAATGGTCGGTGTTAACGTTGGTATTTATGCACCGGCACGGTAACAAGACAACATTACACTGCAGTGCAAACTTTGGATCTGAAACTTTATAATTAATGCCCTATTTTATAATTTGCCCACCGTGTGCAGTATTAAAGTTGCGAGGTGATATTTCGGCCACGCGGTGCACGGAGCACCGTTGCAACTAGATTAGGATAAAGTTTCCAACTAGTGCATCGTGTCTGGTACAGTGGAATCACAAAATATAAAAGTTTAACTTAATAAGTGTACCGTTTAATAAGAGATTATGGACGTACAACTCGCAATTCGCAGTCTAATTGCTTGCCTTACTCGACTGCATACTATAAAAGCTATTAACAAGGACTTTCGAAGCAGTTTAAAGGGAAAATAAGAAGTAGTCTTAGATGGAGAAGTTGATCGAATCGTCACAAGAGTCTAGAAATTAATTCAGTAAAAGAAATATTAGTAGATAATTAAGAATTTGCCTGTTGTTTTGCAATTTCCAAAAATTAGGTATAAATCTTCTTTCCGGAATAAAAGGCGTGTAAAATACAAAAATGGAAGCCTGGATAGATTAAATCGAATCGTACATTCTTTTTTTATAATCCATACATCACAACAATGGAACGTTTCTTTTGTCCGTCGTCTGCCAGTTTCAATTTGAAATTGGTATCGAATAAGGTCCTTAGACCTCGACGTTAGGTTCGTAAAGGCTTTTCAAATTATAAAACTCCTACTCACCGAGTAATCATTAAAGGTTGTAAGGTACTTGCGACTTAAAATCTTGAAGTAATTCACAAGAAGGTAAAATTTGTAAATAATATAATTATTCTGCGTAAAATTTAGCGACAAACTACGTAATGACGA